TTTTTTGTGTTTCTTTTTTCCTCAAATGGTGAATATTTCCCATGTCCCCGGGCAGGAACGGCTATAAGTCTTTTGAATAACATGGGTCTTATTGCAGTCAATTGGTAGGAAAAGCTTGTGGTAAAATAGACTGAAGCTTAGAAAGAACGACTGCTGATGAAAGATAGGGAGGTGGAGGGCGTTTCCATTGGGTGAGCGTGTGTGTTTTCAAGTTGGTTGGGGTGTTCCTGTGTGCATGTATGTTGATGGCAAGAAGGGTCTCATGGTTTTTGGTAGGCACTGTGTCAGATTCTCAGTGGAATTAAAAAAAAAGAATCAACAACAAGAGTGACAACAATCCATTCCAAATGCAATAAAGAGAAATAATGTCACCATGGCAATGCAGCGCGGGACAGTCGATAAACAAGGAAGCCCTAGCTACCGCTGCTTTTAAATCAGTAATGACTTTAAAAGGAGTTTTGTGTCAGCTGGTGGCAGTTGGTGCCCGTGGTCACCACAGCAGGGGTGTTAAAAACAAGAGTGCATGTTTTTGTGCACCCTGGTACCCAGACTCATTAAAAAGTGGTTATTTATCATGCGAGGGACCTACAGGGACTGAATTCAGCCTCTCAATCTTTAGATCCTTCAATATAAAGCCCATAGATGTACCGGTACACCCAAGCTGCAAAACTGTCACTAACTGTGACACATGACTCCAACTCCATGTCCTATCCCTACAATAAAATAACTATCATTTAAAGGTGGTTTAGAGGTGATTTGGTGCAAAAATGGTTTTAATTTGAAGGTTGCCGAACTTTCGGAAAACAAGGCTACCAGAAAATATAACTCTGAGTTAAACTGTGTGGATACATATTTCATCCAAGACAAGAGTATGCAAGAGAAAATGGCTAAAGTACTGTGTTTGTTCAGTCGCTTTGGGGTTTAGTAGTTTCTTCATAGGGTTTAGCTCTGTTAAAGTAAGGTTTTGTGGAAATAAGTGAAGTTTTACCTGTTGTAGATAGCTCAGTGGTTATCAAACTGTGGCACCAGTAAAACTGGTAGCACGCAGAAAAACATTTGGAATTAAAAGTTTGATAAGACACTTAGCTATCATAAATGATGTAAAAAGATAAAAAAAAAGGCTTACCAAAAATACAACAGTCATGGCTTAAATAGAAAACTACTTAAAAGAAAACTGCCATGTAGAATATTGGAGAACCAATTTGTGTAAATTAGAGTTGAACTTGAGGAGATTTGGTTTAAGCCATCTACAATTTGAGAAGAGGAATGCAACAAACTGTCACTTTTTAACTTGCACCCTTCAATGTTTGCTCATTTATGCCAAATGTGAATGTAAGCTTGAAAGCTTGTTGTACCATTTTGTTCAAATCTGCCATAACAACTTGTAATTGGAGAGCTTAGTATGACTTCTAAAAATAAGTTTGAGATAGCTCTTTGGACAGCCCCCGTTTGAAGAAACAGCTTTTACTTCTGATCAGATCGTCAAGCTAACGGCTAGTCAGAACGGGGCATAGACCAAGATGGGTTGTTGTCATCTTTAAAAAACTCCTATCTCAAAAAGTCTTAAAGCAACGTGTCAACACAATTTTATAAACATAATATACATATTTAAGAAGAACTGGTCCTCAAGCCCAAAACAGCAGCTAGTTGTTGAATAGAAGAGTTTCAGTGCGGTCTGGGGTAGCATTCCATTCAGGACCAAAAAAATCTGACCCGACCCAAGCCCGTAGCCATAACTTCTGAACCCCACCTGACCGGATGAATTAACAGTAATTACAGGTCTGAACCCGAAATCCCTCCAACATTTTTAATTAAGCTTTGACTACTTATGTAGTTATTAATGGTCGGCGGATGCGCGAGGCTGAGTAAAGGGGCAGAAAATCAGAGCTGAGGGTTTTTTTGTCCTTTCATGGCCACCAAAGTGCATTAAATCCTTGCGTTCTGTCTGCATTCTGCATTATTCAGACACGGACCCTGCTCTGACATATCAGATATTTTGTGATCTCACTTGTTTGGGTCGTCGGCCGTACGCGTCCACTGAGTGTAGCAACTGAATGAACATCCATTTAGGTTCATGGACCGCTGGCAGTTGTCCATCTGAAGCTTAACTGAACTTTTTGCCTTTTTCAAGGCCAGTCAGCACACAGTCAAATGGCTGCGTGCGGCTGGTGATTGTATGGCAAACCATGTTGTCATATAATTGGATCATCAGCCGCACGAGTCCGCTGACGCAACCAAAAGCCCAACACCGACCCGGCCTGCACATTAAGCACATTCTTATGGCCCAGCCCAGCCCTAATTCGAGGTCGGGCGGGGCTGGGCTCCGGGTTTGGGTTAGAAATGACAGCTCTAGTCTGGGGCCCTTCCAACAAGAATATTTTCACATTTTTTATGGAAGAACCATGGAATGCAAAATTGACAGCATCCTAAAGATGTGTAAAATAGCATTTACTTGAATTACTATGATATTTGTGAGACAGGAGTTGTTTCAAGATGGCAGCAATGCACTTTAGCATCGGTCTTGGTTGGACTAGCCCTTACCTTGTCAATCCAGCGGTAGGTTAACCGAAGCATTTCAACAGGTAACATATTATTTAGTCATAACCTTTCCACAAAACCATACAAGGTTTACAATTTAAATAGCAATATTTCCACAGAGGTTTATATGTGCACAAAAAAAAATCAGTTTTTGCACCAAACACCAATGTGTGTGTGATACTTCAGAAGTACCAGAGTAAACCTATACAAACTCACGTTAAATGATGTTTTCCAAATTTACAATCCATATCCAATTAGATAATCTTGGGAGTCATCTTAAATAATATTTTCCCCAATGATTTGAAGGATTACCACCCAATTTCACTCAGTGATGCTTAGCGTGATTCATTGATATACAAATCATAAATACAAACATATAATACAAACATATCATAACCCTTTTTTTTATATGACACAACAAGGCTTCAGCAGCAATTTTCACCATTGCTGTTAAGAATTTTGTGAGAACGTCTAGTTTTGCTTTTGGAATCATTTAATATTTCTTTATATGTGATAAAGTGGAACATTCTGTGTTGCCACACTGGGATGAAGTGGTCACATACCAGGTTAGTTCAAACTTTTTATATGTCTGTGTTCTTATTTGACAATACCTTGTAGGTCAGAAAACATCTCTATTCTCTTGTCCCAGCTGATTGTAAAACGGACGACTGCATCGCTGTGGTGACAGAATTGACTCACCCTGTAATATTTCTATCAGTGAATCAGAGGAATTAATAGAAAATACTTCACAAATTTAGGGATTTAAGAAATCTGTCAAATGGGATTAAACACTTTGTCGACAAAGCACGATTGTTGCTGAAAAACGATGCGTCTCGATAACGACAACAACACCACTGACCATGATTGCCTCAGTGATGAGGAGAGGAACTCCATGCTAGACAAGGGGATAAAAGAAACCATTACAAAGTTACAATGGAACCAAAATACTGCTTGTGGTTTCAGGGATCAGCACATAGTTGTAATGAATTTTACTTAGATTGTTCTTTTTTTTTTTATTTCCTTCTAAAAACTCTGTTATAATTTGTCTCTCCCCCCTCTGCCCCTCCCCTTGTGGTAAATATATAGCACAAAAATATAGGTGGTGAATGCTCCCGAATATATATGCAATAGATTTACAGATCAGAAGATTCTGCAGCAGTAACAAACAAAGAAGATAAGCACTCTCAGAGTGCAGAATCACAGTGGAACACTGTCCACAGTCGTAGGGTAAGAACCCTGTTTGTTTTTCCTCTAACCTGTCTATCATTTAAAGTCTACCTGTGTCTCCTGTCTGTTCGCCTGACTCGTCTCTGTAAACCTGTTAATCTGTGTTTGTACTCTGGAGCGGCGTCACTTCTTGAACCCGCTTCATTTTGAGTGTTTATCCTTAATCCCGTCTATCTCCGACTCTAGTTAAATGTGTGGACCCGTCGCTTCATTTACCAGTTGTCGTTTACAACCCTTCTGTCCGTGCGTTAGTCCATCTCAGTGTGTAGACGGGAAGCGTCCCTGTGAAATGTGCTTTTGTGCCAGAGTGTCCTCTGTTTCTCAAAGTCTGTTCATTTGCTAGTCCATCAGAGTCCTCTGTTTTCATTCCGCCTTTTTTTCATCAAACGCTCTTCAAAATTTCCAGGATGAAGAATCTTCTTCCTCGAGGCCACACTCTGTCTGATCTGATTCATTATGTAGAGAAGAGGGCTGACTTCTCTCACTAGATTATTTCAGGTTAGACAGGCCCTGATTGGCTGTATTAGGATTGTAAGATCTCATCTTTTTTGTTCTTAATGACTCTCTTACTCTCCTTCCAGTTCAGTTAGGGAGCTGTCTTCTTCTTGTTAGCCCCCCTCTCTGTTATGCATTGGATGGGAAGAGGCAGTTTATCCTTTAGATGAGTCAGTATCTCATCTCTCCTATTAGCGCTAGCTCCACTTTGGACTCCTTGTAGTTTTGCGTTGCTCTAATCCCAGCTCAGTTGGGATTACAGCTCCATCGATGGAAGATGTCCTCCCTCACGCAGGAGTTAGTCTCCTTTCAAAGCAACCTTTGCTAGCATTAGCCTTTCTTAGACTCCATTTAAGTAGAAAAAAATCAAGGTGAATAGGACCCGTCTCTGGTTGCCACAGAGACAAGAGATTGTCCTCTCCGGTTGTGAGGATGACGTATTCTGTGGTCGTTGGAGAACTAATGGTCTGCTGGTGACAGCGTTTTTCTGTCAGCGGTGAACTGAAAGGAGTGAGAGTTTTGTTTTCTTGTTTTGTTTCACAGTGTCTTTAAAGACATCCCTTTCATGTCACATCCCCCCACACCAGTCGTGGTTGGCTGCCATTGGCTTTATACCAATAAATATCAGAATCACCTCAGTCTTATAATGACAGCCAAGGCCCTGAGAATTTCTCTTCTTTTCTGGTAAGAAAGAATGAAACTCTGTGTTTCACATCCAAACTTCTTCACTGGGTTGTGGTGACATGTCACGATGTTCAACTCACAGATGGCTTACTCATTAGTACTGAAAAGTAAAAGTATGTGTGACTTTGCTTGGAATTAGGAGTTAGAGACTAGAGCGCGTTGTCAGATCTCATTGCGAGTTTACTCCGATTGACGCCTCACTTCAAGACAGTAGATGTTAATTTCCGTCAGTGAATACAGGATGCTTTTAGTCGAGGGAACCAACGCTGGCTTTGGCTTTCAGTCGAGGCGATACTGGACTCAAAGTGAAGGTTGGTTGTTATTGGCATATAGATTGTGTTGTTGAAGTTTTTTAGTTCAAGGAGTTCCTCCACTTTCCACAGCCTTGTACTGATTGTGGTCCCATTAGATATCTGAGTCAAGTTCAAGATGATCAATCCTTAGACCATGGTGCAAACAGTGTTTAGATTTGGATCGAATCGCACAGCCTTCCCCTCGACAGCTTTGGCGTTCGTGTTGTACATGGGATTCTCAAAGGCAGCCTGGCCGTTGTTGTTTTCATGGACTGAACAGCCTGTGTACTGAGTTTTTGGTGTGGTTCTGTTAAAAAAGGGAGAGACAAAAAAAAAAGCATAATTGTTTGATAATATTTGAATTATTAAGTAGCCAGAAGACAATGATGCACTCCTGGGAGCAGCGGCGTAGTAAACAGGCTTTGAAACAAATCAAAGAATGTGTGTTTTGCTTTTTAGTAAACCCAGTGAGATTCCAAACAGCCCATCCAAAACTAATTCCTTCAGCAAGACTTTTTTTTCTTCTTCTTTTATTAACAGCAGAACAGACATTATCTGCATCTGTTAACAATCTGAACACCAGTCAGACGTGCTTAAACCTTGCCTTTGAAAAATCCAATTTACCACCTTCTAAACATGGATTGTTTTGCAGCACAGTTTACGACAGACACCGACTTCACTGTCTTCTAGCACCTTGAGAATCAAACCACTGAAGCAGTTATTGTTTGCACAAATTCGACGTCTTCTTACATTGTTAATGAAAGCTCTTTTTTTTTACTTTATGAATGGCACAAACAGTAAAAAGACGAAAATTAACAATGCACTGACAGGAACATGTTCTTCAAAGGAATGCATGCATGTTTGTTTTTTCCAGCTCATACCTTTGCTTGTAGAGATAGAAGCCAAAGCCAGTGAAGATCAGAGCAAAGAAAGGCACCAGAATAGCAATAGCCACAGAGCTGCTGTTGGTACCGAGCTGAGGTGGTGGCGAGTTCTGACTCTCTGACATGTTCAGACCTGTGATGGACAAGAAAGTGATTCATCACTGTCAAAAATTATCTGGGAGGCATAAAAAATGACAAGGGGAAACCTTTTTATTTTATCTCGAGGGAAAAATCATTAGGTACAAGTTAGGAGATGGGACTTTGCCACAATCAGTAAGGTCAATGTATTTTATAATTTCAGATTTTTTTAAATAATCAACTACTTTTATTGTACAAAGAAACCCAACGACAGTTATTATTAAATGCTGTTACTAAACCTATAAGAAAATTACCCAGTCTCTGCAGTCCAAACTGTCCGTAGTCTTTACCCTGAATAAAACCCTGGAAAACGTAACTAGAACCATCAGGTTCTGCCGATACCTGCAGTGAACACAGAAGGGACAATGGATTGAGGGTATAAATGAGAGAAGAAACAATAATAAAAGTGGGGAAGATGCAATGATCCGTCATTTATTTTTAATCTGAACTGCGTTTTTAAAGGAAAAAAAGTCAAATAGACCGTATTTTCCATAAATAATTTGCTCCCACAGTCTTCTCAAACGTATACACCATTGCATCATAATGTTTAGAATTTAGTGCTGTCTAGAAGGATGACAAGAATTAATATTTATTTATCTGAGCACAGGAATTAGACAGAAAACTATCCCAGACTCAGTATTTAGAGACTGTAGTAAAATGTCATCTAAAGGACAATTAAAACACCCAACTCTATAGAAAAAGCATCTTTTTTTTTAAACTGAACACATTTTTTCTTTCTTTCTTTTTCTAACAAGCATCATTCTTTTACACCATATTATGCTCCAACTTGATTGTACTTGTATCCACAGAGACTCACAAATCCATCCATGGTCCAGGAGTCGTCCATGATCTTGGCTGGAGAGATGGCTGCGTCTTTTAGTTGACTTCCCTGGTTAACGTAGTTCACCTGATACATCAGAAGCATCAATCTGGCCTCAGAAGCTTTATAGACTCCTACAGAAGACACAGTAAGTTTAAATATACATAAACATCAAAACAAGAAGAAGCCTTCCTGAATAATGGAATCTGTGATTGTAATGCCAAATTTGGTAATTCTCTCTAATATTACACATCATCATTATGACACATCCTGCCAGTAGGACAGCTTTAGAGGTGTCAGTGGGAAGACTTCTCATTTTGAGCATAACCAGAACTCCGGTCTTTAAGCTAGTCAGCAAATGTCTCAGCATATTTTGATATCAGCCTTTCATTCAATGTAGACGTATGATTTGTACATAAAATGCTGAAGCACTGCTTTAAGACTCGGAAAATGTGCAAATTTAAAGCAAGTGACCTTTCCGTGGCCGCGCGAGTGCAGCTTTAGCTGGCATTGATCTAAAGCTGTTGTTCTAAAACGAGTTGACAGATGTTAAATGTGTGATTACAGCAACGTTTTGCAATATGATTTTGTGCTTTCTGTTCCTCCAGGAACCAATTTTAGCTTCAACAGGATTTGTGTCTTATTAAGGTCTTAACCCATACTTATGCTGAGGGACATGGGAGTATGTGTTTAAGTGTGCATACATATTTGTGTATGGGATTTGCAGGTCTTCAAGTTTAGGAGACCAATAATCCACCATTTCAAAGCAGCACCCATCAGTAAAAGTGTTGATAGAAGGAGCTCTATGTTACATTTAATGTCTAAGTGTGTATTTATGGATCAATACAGGAGCGGTGTAGTACTGTACTATAAACATGACGTATTACCATCACATATCCTATTTTGCCGAGTAGAAGCAAATATTTTCCCTTTTTGCAGATAGTATTGGAGAATTTAATGCAGAGCCGTAAACATAACATGCCTGACAGGAGCAGTTCTAGGTTGCCGTTGCTAAGGGTAACATTGACTCTCCCGGTTGTGGAGTTGAAGCTGGTGATGCTCAGTGTCATAGGCTGCTTCCTGCCGCGGTAATTGTAGGAGCCCTTCCATATGTAGTTTGGTGCGAAAACATCATCTGGAACTGCAGAAGAAAAAAAAGAAGATAAATTATAATCAGAAAACCTTAGTTTTTCAGACTGTTTCTTCATTTTATTAGATAATTGGGGAGTTTTATTAGTCGTACCATAAACTAATCTCTTTTCTGACATTTTTCAATTTAAAGAACACCTTAGCTAAGATCATGTTAATTTGGTCTAAAAAAATCAAATTTGGTAGATGTCTGATTCTAGATTTAGAGACTAAATTTAGCCAGTATTGGCAAGAAGATTGATGATGAGGGGATCTAAATTAAGAACATTGTATTATAGGAACTCTAGCATCCTACTGAGCAACAAAGTGACACATATCATGGACGTTTTACAGTATAAAAGTTAGTGCAAAGCTTGTACAGCCTAATTCAATTTAACCACTAACTAACTAGTCTTTCTTTCATAAGCTGAACAGCGTTTAACTTCTGTTGACACAGTCATGGTATAGATACATTATCCACAAATGAAAAGTAAATTTAAGAAGTTTGTTGGCATTCAGACAATGAACCATCGTTTTACAATCAATGCTAAAATGTTGGACTTTGCTCTCTGAAGCTTTAGCACAATTTTTACACATGTAGTTTTGTTGTTATACAACGAGGTTATAAGGGCTAAACTGCTTGAACTTAATGTGGATAATATTTATTTGGTCTTATCAGGCCTAAATGATGATTAGACACTGAAATGGTGTCTACTGGTCAGTAGGCAGATCTATGAGTCCATTTGTTTATTGATGTAGTTAGCTTGGTGCTAGTTGTGTTTGCAAAATGGCTAAAAGTTCATTATGGAATCTATATCATTATCCATTTTTATGATGCTTTGTTTAAGCAAATGGACAGTGGGGAGAGAACATAGCCTTGGTGAACGCCACATTCAATGCTGATGGAGCAGTGGGCATCAGTCTCTACTGTTGTATTTTACTAGCTGGTACTGAACAATAGAGTACGTCTGGTTTGAAGTCACTAGGTGATTATAAACAGTCAGGTGGTGAAGCTGACCAGCTTTTTAAACCTCCAATTCATGTTTTTTTGGATTTCTGCCTTGGTGATGATGACTGAATCATGTTCTGAGAGATTACTGTGGTATGCTCGTAGGCCAACCACCAACTTGGCAGCGGTATTACGTGATGCCTCTTTTCCCATAAGTCTTTCTAATACTGCTCTGTCTCTGGTCTGTTGTCGTGCTGCTGGTTCCCTGCAGCTGCTACTGCATTCTGGATGGGTCTTTTTTAGAACAGGCCATTTATTTTCTTTGGTCTCAGCCTCCCTGGAGTTCCCTCTCACTTTAGAAAGCATGACTGAGAGTCTTTACTGGCCAATTCTCTATGCTGAATCAAATCTTGGCTCCAGTATTTAGAAAAGGAGGCTTCTCTTGCGTAGAATTAACAGCTATAAATATGTAGGTAACTTACATTTACTTGTAATTTACTTAAACCACATTAAAGACAAAGGTCCATCGTCAAAATCTTTTGGATTCTAGTTGTACTGCCTGCTATTATTGGTGAAGAAACTTGTGGACAGTATAGCTACAGGATTTTTGAGTGTAAAGAGTGTGCAGCTGAAAAATACAGGTGAGCAAAACTCTAGCCAGCTATCTCAAGGGATCATTTACTTTTTTATGCGTTTTGAGAAGAAATACAAAGAATTATTTAGAACTACAATGTGGAGCATTAGAGCATCTTGAAACCAACCAGAAGACAAGAACAAAACTGAGCAGAACCAAAACGATTGAGCCACACGATAAACCAGGCTGAAAAGGAATAGGCGAGGGAAACCATTAATAAAAGCCTGACATATAAAAGAACTGACCGTTGAGTTTTGGACTGGGTGTTCCTGTTACTGGCTTCACAGGTTTCTTCTTTTCTCCAGCTGCACACATAAGAGACAAAGAAACAAACAAAAACTCATGAGTAGAGGTGTACGTTGTTAAAATATATAAAAATGTGCTTTTTCAGCTTTTTAGTTGATGCTCAAAAATCTGTTTTCTCCAGGGGAAAGCAGGCTTTCTGCTGCCAAATAACCACATTAGAATGCAGTGCTGGTCAGTCTTAGTCACACATGCATAATGAGCAAAGAGTGTTTCGAAAAGGGCCAAGTAAAATAAAGCTCTTTAATGAGAATTTGTAGACAGAGCAATACAAATCGAGTTCATGACCAATAATAGCGGTGCATATCGGATCCATTTAAAAGTAGCTTTAGGATACTTGGTTAGAACCACTGAGAGCAGTCTCTATCGTCTCTTTGTGATGCAGCTATTGCTTCCAGTAAGTGAAGACGAGCACGAGGAAAAAGCTCACGTTCCAGAATCTCAAATTGGATCCAAGAGTGACCCGGTTTTAAAGACCTTTTCATGTAAATGACATGCTGCCTGCTTTGTTGGACTGATATCTTGTTTTAAAAGTAACATAGAAATTGCACAAATGAATGATTACTGATTCATCGGTTAGCAATTTTGGCTAAAATTACTGCAAAGATAACACAAGCTTAGTCATTCTCAATGCTCACACAACATAGTCAGAAAAAAAATACTATTTTGTATTGGCCAGTTCAGGAATGTATGTTTTAAACTAGCTTAACGTGACAGCTTGGACATTGTGAAGTGGGGGTTTTGTGGTAAACTTATGAACAAATAATATCTCACCTGTTGAGCATGGGTCCTTAAATGGTTTCAGTTTGTAAAAGCATAATTTTCAACAGCTAAACACACAGCCACTATGGGGACAGTCAAGATCAATGTGAATTCTGGATGTTTTAAAACAGCTCAATTTGCAATACCTTTATTCAAACAACTTTTATTTTGAAAACCTTTCCACTGATGTCAGTTTGGTAATACATAATTATTTTCCAAAGAATCCTGCTGTAATTTACAAGTGTTACTAGCAGCAGCAGCTAGCTGTAGTACTGTCTGTGCAGTTGTTGGCACTTCCTGTAGAAATACCCTACTATTAGTGCCAGTATAATTAAATTATAGGAAATTGACAACATTTTAAAATAACAATTGCATAAACTGTGATGAAAAGGTTCAGAATGTTTTGTTTTCACAAGAGAAATAAACAAAGTTTGTCCTAACCCCACACGGACCTTTAGCGTGTAAACTGGGTCAAAATTAAATTATTTCTTTAAACTGAGGTTGATGAAGGAGTGATCTACAACAGGTAAGATATTAATTGTTCAAAAGCTTTCCACAGAGCACCACTTCAAGAGATCTGAATTATCCTTTTTAAAATGAAATCTGAAAAAAGGTGCTTGAAAATCAATCAACATGACAGGATACAGATTGGTACTTTATAAACTACAAATAAAACCTTGAAAGCAAATTTAGAGCAACTTTATAAGCTAAGGGGAGTTTAAAATGTGCAAATTCAGAACAACTAGAAAAAAAACCTTTTGTGTATCAGTGAGTGGAGTCAAACTGGAAAAAAATTGAAAACTGAGCTTAGACAATGTCTAAACATAAAACTGTTCAAATTATCATATAAACATACGATTATTCATGGATATAATATATTATATTATTACTCAATTATTGTTGGGGTTTTTGTTTTTTGATGCTTTTTTAAATGAAGTTAAAGGAACAATAATTGTTCATCTACTATAGTTAACTTAAACAGATACTATATTAATGGGTTAAATACGGGTTTAGTTGTTATATGTGTGGATTATACATGTAATAAATGTAAGATTAAGCAAGTGGTTAAGGAGTGGGAATTTTGATGTTTATACTTCTACCCACTCCCTTGAATATGTAAAAAAAAAAGTTTTGTATTATTTTTAACATGTTTTTCTTAGCATGTTATTAGTATTTTTATGTTTTTCTTAGTATGTTAGTAGTATTTTTAATAAGTTTTTCTTAGTAAGTTACTAGTATTTTTCAATATGTTTTCGGCCGAGATGGTGTAGAGGCAGGGCAGCCGGCTTGGGACCCGAAAGTCCCAGGTTCGATCCCCAGTCACTGCAGATCACGTGGTGTCTTTGGGCAGCACACCTCATCCCCAAAATGCCTCCCGGGCGCTTTCAATAGCTGCCCACTGCACCACCTGGTGGTGGATGGGTTAAATGCAGAGACTAATTTCGCCATTGTATGGAAACATACAGTGCTGACATTGTGATGACATTATTATTATTATTATTATTATTAATATGTTACTAGTATTTTTCAACATCTTCTTCTTAGTATATATATACATATAGCTGCAACAATGAAGAAAAAGTAGTATTTTTTTATATGTTTTTCTTAGCATGTCAGTAGTATTTTTTAATATGTTTTTCTTAGTATGTTAGTAGTACTTTTAATATGTTTTTCATAGTATGTTAGTAGTATTTTAATGTTTTTCTTAGCATGTTAGTATTTTTAATGTTTTTCTTAGCATGTCAGTAGTATTTTTTAATATGTTTTTCTTAGCATGTTAGTAGTACTTTTAATATGTTTTTCATAGTATGTTAGTAGTATTTTAATGTTTTTCTTAGCATGTTAGTAGTATTTTTAATATGTTTTTCTTAG